GGAGAGCTCTCAGCTGAACTTTTTCAGATCTTTGACAAAATTAGTCTTTCCTTTTTTTATCCTCTTGACAAAATGACCCCAAACTCTAGGGAAAGTGGAAGAATTGTGTGGGTGAAAGGAAGATTTTGAGTTAGAGGGGTTCTTTTTGGCTTTTCACCAACACTGTTGTTGCAACTGAGCTCATGCCTCGCATCTGAGCGAAGGCTGTGGCTCCAGGGCCCACCTYCCCCTGAATCCCTCCCTGCTTCTCAATCTTACCAGTGTTCCAACTCAGAATTTTCCATCCATCTGCTGAGGCAGCTGCTGGAGAATCTGCTGGGAGTAAGAGGGTCTCACACCAATGAGTACTTTGCCCTGGGTCCCTTGCGGCTCACAGATCAGGTGAAACACATAAAAGCAGAGCTACTCAGGTGACAGGAGGATGAAAATACAAAGCTCTTTTCTAGGCCAGGCCTTTGCCTCACCCAGGTGGTGCGAGTCAGCTCTCTGAAACTTCTGGGCTGGTCTAGAGGGAATGGTTTGGAAACTAGTTGCATTGCAAGTCAAAAGTGCTGGCCTGAGGGTCTACATAAGATCAGAGAGAGGAGGAAAAATTCTCCATGCCCACTGACTCTCTGGAGAGTCTCTCCTATCAACCTGCCGGTCCCTCACTTCTCCACAGGCTGCTTGCTCTTCCTGTGGAGGGAAGAAAAAAACAGCTTCACCTATTCACTTATCTTTAACTGTGTTTTGGACCTGTTATCTGTTAAATGGGAAGTGAGAGGGATTTGGGAGTATCCCCAGTGGTAGAGCACAAGCATGCTGCCTAAGGCACTGGATTTAAAATGTGTAAAGTAGGTACTGGATAGCTTCCTTTCCCCAATTCCTGAGGCTTCACCTTTTCCCCTTCTGGGCCTTCCCAGCATTTCTTTCCCAACATGTACTTTTTTTTTTTTTTTTTAATTGTAGATGGACTCAATACCTTTATTTATTTTTAAGCAGTGTTGAGGATCCACTTAGTGCCTCACATGTGCTCAGCAAGTGCTCTAACACTGAGCTACACCCCCAGCTCCGAAACATGTACTTTGAATATGCCTGTATTTTGCACTAAGCATCCTGCATTGAAGTTATTTGAGTTGTTCATAGCACCATTCTAGAAGAGCACTGTGCCCTGGATTATATTCCTTAAGAGGGAGTGTTTTGCTTTTTTTTCCTCCCAGTCACCAGAGCACACTCCTGGTCCAATGCTTGGTCCAAAGTAGATGTCACACATTTGGTTGTTAAATGAATTGTCAATGTGTTGAACCCACGACACAAAGAAAAGACCACTGACTCCAATTTTAAGCCAAATTAAAGCAAGCTTATATTGTGTACACAAAGAGAGCTGGCCAGCRACTGTCTCAACCGAAACCAGGGCCAGAGAACAGTGACAACTCCCAGGAAAGAAAGGTTTTTAAAGCACAAAGAGTTACAAAGTGAGTGTTTTGGGAACTTAACAGCTAACAGGGTTCTGGCAAGCGTAATACAAAGGCAGATAGCAGGTTAATGATCTACATGGCTTAACATTTCATGGTAGGGAGTAAATTGAGATTCCAACATCAGAATTTATGAAGAGCTGCTGAGGTTTTAGGGAGGGTTGTTATCTGGTCAAGGAGAGCCAGGCCTGGGTGAGTTCAGAACACAGGCAGGAATTCCAAACAAGTTTAACCATCAGAGTATRGTCAGGCCAAATAGAAATAAAACAGAAATTAACTTTTCATGACTTTGTGATGAGATGGCTCCCAATCTTAAAATGGAATCAGGGGCTGGGGTTGTGGCTCAGCTACAGACCGCTGGCCTAGCAGCGTGCCAGGTGCTGGGTTTGATTCTCAGCACCACATGAAAACAAATTAATAAAATAAAGGTATTGTGTCCAACTACATAAAAATAATTTCTTAAAATGGGTTCCTCAAATGGTATTCATCTTGGACCAACCTGAACAGTGCACACAATAGAAGGAGAAAGGGAGAGTGGGAGAGGGGGAGGGAGGGAAGGAGGGAGGGAGAAAGAGTGACTGACTATGTGTGTATGGTGGGCAAGGAGGAAAATTGTGGGGATGAAGCATTACCATAGCAGGCATCCACGCCAAAGGAGGACACTGTCAAGTGACCAAAAAAAAAGTCGGAATTGGAATCCCACTTCCATGCCAAAGGAACTCCCGCCCAAGTGACTTCGGTTTATTTACGCCCACAACAGGGATAACAGCCRCGCTTAACCTTAACCGTAAGGGAAACGTTTTGTAAAGAGAGGTTCCGAGCTGGGCGCGGTGGCGTGCTCCCCCATAATCCCAGCAGTTCGGGAGGCTGAAGCAGGAGGATTGAGAGTTCAAAGCCAGCCTCAGCAATTTAATGAGGCCCTAAGCAATATAGCGAGATCCTGTTTCAAAATAAAATATAAAAGGGGGTAGGGATGTAGCTCAATCCCTGGGTCCAATCCCTGGTAACAAAAGAAAGAATGATTCCTGTAGCTCAGCGCCAACCGGGCCGGTAGAGCGAGCCAGGCTCGAAGGAACCAGGGCCCAAAGACACCCACCCGGGTCAATTCTAATWGCAGCGTAGTGTGGGAAAATTCCGTCCCCTGTCAGTGATTTGTCTGAAGGTCATAGGCGCCAGAGGCGTTCCCACACTTTATTGGTTAACGCTGCTGTCAGTCTAAGGGCGGAGACCTTTGGGAAACGTAGTTCCGACACACCGAGTCCTTCTGAGGCACGAGTTTCCGCCTCCGGGGTTTTGTGGCCCTCCGAATGCCTGAGCTTCGGGTAATGGGCTCGGATTTTAAGTGTGGTGGGAGAAGTTGTGTGACTTCGGAGAAAGTGCCGCGTGGCCCAGTGGCCGGTAGCCGCCGGGCCTCAGCCAGCAAGAGCGGCTCTCACCTGGGCCTGGGCCTGGGCCGCCCCTGCAGGGTGAGCGAGGCAAGCTGACGCCTTGGGCCGTATGCTCTGGGCCCTGGCCCGGCGTCCTGCAAGGATGCGCCCCCTCGTGCTGGCTGCCTTCTTCTGCTCGCCACCCACGGTCCGGAGGGCATGTCCCTGGCTCTCTAGCCTTCAACGCAGCCCGGTTCACAGGGACTGCATTTGTTCCCAAAAAGCTTCCAAAGAAGATGCCCCGCATAGCAGAATAGCCTTCCAGTATAAGTTATGTTCTGCTGGCCACTGGTGCATTTTCCTGCAGTAAACCAGCTCTATTACCTTGGGCAAGTTTCTGGGGATCTCTAAACTTCGATTGTATCAGGTCCAAGAGTTAAATAATAACTTTCCTTCCAACTCTGACATCCTGTGACCCTGTATTTTTATTGTCCTTGCTTTTAGAGCTTGTAGAGTAGATCACACTGTTGGTAGAGAGTTATGATGCTAGGGCTAAGGGATCCTGAACAGGGTGCTAAGTTGAGAACCTAGCCAGGGGCGAGTTTGGAATATTAGAATTTCTGGACTTTAGAGGCGGCAACACCCAGATGCTGCTCTCCAAGGTGCTGCTACATTATGCTCAGTCTGACTTTTACTGGACCTTCACTTGGTAACACTCTATGATTCTGAAGCCCAGTGGCTTGGGAAGATAGGCAGTTTATTGTCTCATATATAATCTCCATAAACTCATCCTCATTCTTCAGTGTGGATAACTGGTATTTTCTGAGCCTTAAGTAAACTATTGTGCAAATACCTTTAAGCTCCCCTCCTTTCCCATCAGTTACCAGCTCTTGACCCCTTTTATCAACCTTATGAAGTTGCCTCAGTGATAGAGGGCCACATTCCACAGGCAGCAGGACATGGAGAGTGACAGATAGGAAGGCTGCCTTCTTCAATTCTGTTAGGCTAGCACTTGTGATTTTCACTCTAATATATGTCTTCAGTTCTAGGATTTCAAGAGAAGGTCCACCTAATGACTCAAGTAARGGTGACTTCCCAATGAGAGAAGGAGATTTGAGCTTTATAGTTGCAAGGTTCTCTGAGCTGAATAAGGGCTGTAGCTGTGACTCAACAGATCCAGACTCTTCAAGTGCAAGAAGGTTGCAAGTAGAAACTAGAAGATTCCTGCTGGGAGCAGGAAATTTCCTTTCAAGGGAATGACTCCGGGCTGAAGACCTCCTGCCAGAGCTTTTGGCATTTCCACTATCAAGAAGCATCTGGCTGTTGGAGGCTAAGGCAGGAGGATTGCAAGTTCATAGCCAGCCTCAACAATTTAGTGAGGCCTTAAGTAACTGAACAAGACCCTGTCTCAAGATAAAAAAATAAAAGAAGGACTGGGGATGTTGCTCAGGGACCGAGTGCCCCTGGTTGAATTCCTGGTACAAAAAAGGAGGAGGAGGAGAAGGAGAAAAGAAGAAAGGAAGAAGAAGAAGCTGGACTCAAGGAGGCCCTTATTCATCTCTGGAAGATTTTTCACCACTGGCTGAGACCAGAAGTTAATGAAAGAACAGATCCTGGAATTACTAGTTCTAGAACAGTTCCTATCTTTCCCCAAGAGATCCAGATCTGGATTAGACAGCAGCATACAGAGATTGGAGAGGAGGCCGTGGCCCTGGTGGAAAATTTGCAGAAAGAAATGGGAAGACAGGGGTTGCAGGTGAGATAAGGAAATAAATTTCTGACTGGCCAAAGTAGAAGAATGTGAGAGACAGCCACCATGGATTGTCAGCTGTGTAGATGAGGCATAGTACTTTGCTATTTATGTCAAAATGGAGTTTGCTTGTTCCCTGATCCTGGTCACGGCAGCTTTTCTTCTCAGTGCAGACTCTCTCTTCAAAGAATATGTACATTGGCTGCTCTGAGTATTGGTTTCTGCCATTAAATAAGAGAATTTCTGGGGTTGAGGATGTAGCTCAGTTGAGGATATAGCTCAGTGGTAGAGCACCTTCCTAGCATGTACAAAGCCCTGGGTTTGATTCCCAGCACTACAGACACAGAATTGCTAAAAATGCCAGTTCTCATTTTCTGGGTGAGCTGGAGGAAGCAAGTTACTTTACTGGTCATTACTGACACTATTGAGCTTATTGTAAAATAGTTGAATTATTGGTCATGCCTACATATTTTGCTTACATGTTGGCAAGACAAGTAGGAGCATGCCAAGGAGAGCTGGAATGGTCAGGTTGCAGTGGGCTTGGGTTCTAGACCTTATCTCTGAAATCTTCCACATATGCACATTCTTTGCTGCTGCAGATATTTGCACAAGACTTATTTTTTCATTTTCTTCTTTGAATCTGGAGATGTTTCAGTTTTAGTTCCTACAGGATTTTGAGCACTTGCAGTCCTTGAATGGAGATTGTCCTTTCAGAGACGAATGAACCCTCAGAATTAGTACTGAGTTCCCTAAACATCTACCATAAGCACAAACAACCCATGTGTCTGTTTCAAGCAGTGAAGAACTGGCATCCAGAAACAGAGGAACAGTCAAGCCACAAAATAGAGTTCCCATCCTTCCATGGTCATGGTAAGCAGGAGCTAATGGGGTTGGAGGGGGCACTGACTATGGAGAGGGCATGAAAGCGCCCTCTGAGTGCAGGATTAAGATATAAGATACAGCTCCCTTCCACCTGGAAGATGCAGCTTGTAAACTGAGGCTGATGGTGTGAATCTGTGAGAGCCTAACTAGGTACCTCCAAAGGGAAGGACTCCAATTGGCATATTTTGTAAAATCACTTAAGAGAGCCTGCAGCCCTTCTGTTTATATGAGTGAAGATTGAGAGTCCCATATTATGGTGGGGACATATTTGAAGGTTATTTGGTAGGAAAAGCAAAAGATAATGTTAAACTTAAGTGTAATAATCCTTAAACAGGTAATTATCCCCAGATKAATTCAGATGACTCAAGTATATTACCCAAACTGAAAAACAGGTCATAAAATCCTGACTGTCAGTGCCTGGATGAATATGGAAGAGAAAAAAATCTAGAACATTCAACTTAGAAATGTATCATTTTTTTAAGAGTGAAAGAAGTAAAATTCATTCAAGTGTGAAGAATAGAAACAGAACTCTTGCAGGGGCAAGATAGGGGTTGCCCTTATTTGGGGGTTTTGCCAGTCTTTCTTTGATAGGAAAAAGGAGATACAGAGAGTCTTCTGTTCCTGAACTCAGTCAGGCTTGTTTCTGAAAGGAATTGAGAACCATATTCTCTTAATGTTCTGATTCTCTTCCCTAGCCCTGCCTGATCCTCTAGCTTCCTGCAGAAAAGCACAATGGTGACCAGGGGACAGTGAGCAGCAGTTGATGAATCATATGTTTCTCTTATTTAGATTACCTTTTACTACTTGAATGGGGCTCTCTGCACTAAGAAATTCCCAAAGAATTTTACCGAGAAGGGAAGCCCAGTAACTTATACAGTAGACTCTAAAATTTCATCAGACTACAAAAGGTTGCCCAAATCTCCWTGGTACTGAGGAACTGTATTTAAATTGCTGTTTTCCTTGATTCTAAAATCATCATATTATATTGATTTGCTTGTTTGCTTTAAAGGTCCTGATTACTTCCTTCATTCTCTATCCAGATATTGTTCAGTGGCTGAAATATTGTGTAGTGGGGAAAGAAACAAAAAGTTAAAAACTACAGTTAGTCCTGAGTTCAAATTCCAATAAGTCCTGTATTAGCTGTGTCACTTTGAGCAAATATGTAAAGCTTATGAGTGTTCAGTAAAAATTAGCTTCTTTCTTTCTTTCTTTTCTWTACTTTTCTTTCTTTTTCTCTATTCCTTCTCCCTTGTCCTGTTTTCTTTATTGCATATAAAATCCAAAGTACTCCTTTCTGGTTTGTTATGTGTGTTTTGTCACTTGCCCTCCTCTGACTCAGGTATTTTGTCCCAATTTTATATATGTGGGATGTGGGGAGGTTGAAAATTCAAACCCTGCTTATGCTAGACTACCACTGAGCCRCACCCCCCAGGCAAGGTTATGTGTTGTTTTTTGTTTGTTTTGTTTTTTGGTACTGGGGATCGAGCCCAGGGCCTCACACATGCTAGGCAAGTGCTTTACCTCTGAGCTGCATCTCCAGTTCCCAGGCATGTGTTTTGAGGAGGGGTATCATGTTTCTTCAGGAGCTGGTGACATTTGGTTATGTGTCTGTGTATGTCTCCCAGAAGGCACAGGAGCAACCAGAACCTGGATAGAAGAGCCACCTAAAAATAACTTGGGAGAATTCTGCAAAGGAGGCATCCCACTAGGTAAGGATGTCTAAAGGAGTCTAAAGTTAACTGAAGGGTTTCTGTAGTATTCCCTACCTCAGACTTTTTTGGGGTTGAATTTTTCAAATTTACTCCCTTCTTTAATTCTACTTGAAAAGAAACAGAAATCCAACATCATATTAGCATCTCTAGGGATGAATTTCTTTTTTTAATTTTTATTTTTTTTTAATTGTAGTTGGACACAATACCTTCATTTTATTTATTTATATGTGGTGCTGAGGATCGAACCCAGGGCCTTGCATGTGCCAGGCGAGCACTTTATCACTGAGCCACAACCCCAGCCCCTCTAAGGATGAATTTCTTGAGCCCAAAAAGACATTAGATTGGAAGCTCATCTTAGTTTTATTTATTACACAAWACATGAGCATGGGTCTGAATTTTTTTTCTTATTGTTCCTTTATAGTCCTTAATATTATTTTCATTGAGGCTTTATAAGAATTCCCTTAGACTTTTTTTAAAAAAAATTATTCTCTTTCCTCCCAATCCTATAATGTAGTTGGGATTAGATTCTCCAAACCCTATGTCTCTTTGTCTCCCTACAAACAGATTTTCCAATCTACAGGCCTGGAGTGAGCAGGAGTAATTACAGAGCCCAGATCTTCACCACTGCAGAGAGAAGGAGAGAGGAGAGTTGGGGAGAGTGCTCGGTGAGTGGGTAAGAGCCAAAGCTGGCCAAATACCATTTATTTATTTATTTTTTTTTTGGTACTAAGGATTTAACCCAGGAGATACCATTTTTTTTTGGGGGGGGGTACTAAGGATTTAACCCAGGAGTGTTCTACCACTGAGTTACATCCTCAGCCCTTTTTATTTTGAGACAGAGTGTCCTTAAGTTGCTTAGGGCCTCACTAAGTTGCCAAGGCTGGCTTTGAACTCAAGATCTTCCTGTGCTGGTGGGCTTGCAGGCWTGTACCACCACACCTGGCCCAAGTGCCAATCTTGATAAAAGCCAAGGCCTGGAATAAGCAGAAGTGACAAGGCCGGGAGGAGGGACTATGAGGAAACCAAGATTTTTTCTGGGAATTCTCAGTGAGTCAAGGGTCCATGAAAAACTCCATATCTGCACCAGAACTGCCAGGTATGTCAGACTGTAGCTAAATGGCTTTGAGAATGTGGCTTCCTGTGGATCCTAGAGCAGTTCAAAAACCTGCAAACCAACTAGTGCAAAGCCAGGAGTACCCATATGCCAGGCATCTGCACCTCTGTGATGAGATGGATACCCGGATGTGCCCACAGGTTGCCACCCCCATCCCAGAGGTGGCAGGTTGTCTTCTTGGGCAGCACATTGTGGAGCAAGAACTGCTCAAGGGTTGTTGGGAACAGGAGATGGCAATGCTGGATAAAAATGTGTCAGAAGCTGGGTCAGGGAAGCAGGGACAGAACCTAGGTCATACAGCAGCATTTTTGGAACAATAACATGTGGGAGCCATGACAGCAGATTCTGAGGGGGAAGAAATGGGGGGCTGAAGAAGCCTGGAGAAGCCCTGGTTTCACAGCCCTGTTTCAGAGTCCTCCTGGTAAGACCTTGTTGTCACAATATTGGGGAAGTAGGGTGTTAGTTAACAGGATTGGAGAGAACCTCATCCCAACCAGTTCTCTGCTGGGCAGAGTTTGTAATCCCAGCTACTCTGGAGACTGAGGCATGACAAGTTTCAGACCAGCCTGGGTAGCTTAGCTGTCTCAAAACAAAATCAAAAGGGAATGTAGCACATTRTAAGAGTACTTACCTCACATGGCTGAGGCCCTTATTTTCTCAGGGTACAACATGCATTCATGGCATATTGTAATGGTTTGGGAAGAGCCAGGAAAGACTATTTTTATATACAAATGGAAGAACCATTTGTTTGCCTGAACAATGGATAAAAAGGAGGAGCTGTGTTACATAAGAATAGTGTTCCTATGTCTAAAAATAAATATGTGCATGTTGTCACATCAAGTCTTGTCATAGAGGGAGAAAACCCATTTGTTTGTTTCTTAGGAAATCACTGAAATGCTGTGGAAGGAWTGTGGAAGTGTCTTCTGTCATCTTTATTATAAAACTAGGGGTATCATCCTGATTTAACCACTGTCCCTTTCCCCTAGGTATGCACTGGAAGTATAAAGAAACTAAAATTCACCTGAGAATTTTTGTAAGCCCTACATTCATGAGAAACTTGCAGCTGCATCAGAGCCATCAGGTATACCAGATTGTGGCTGGGCATCTGTGGGATAACGTGGCTTTTTGTGGATGCTGGAGCAGTGTGGCTACTGGTTCAAAAACTTTCAGACCAACAAAGCCAAGAACACCCATATGCCAGGCACCTGTGCCTTCTATGATGAGATGGATGTCCTGATGAGTCCCGGGACCCTAGCTAATACCCTTGATGTCTTAGAGGTGGCAGGAGGCCTCCTGCAGGATAGAGGGCAATCCCGAGGGATGTGGGAGACAGCACCAGAAGGTACAACAGGACACGGTGATGAAATAACAGAGGAGTTTCAAGATCATCTGAGAAGACTTAGTCCCTAAGGATTGAGGAAGGATTCCAGTGGCAAACTCTCYTCCCCAGAACACTTCAAACAGTGGTAGAGATGAAGTTCTATGGGAGGCATTGGAGACTGGGAGTCAAGAGACATAATATGATTATTGTCCTGGCTCTGCTGCCTCTAGTCTGGAATGACCTCATCAGGAGTAAAATGGACATGTCTTTGGGAAAATGTTGTTTACTTCCTATCCTCAAATATTATTCAGCTCAGCCCTCTGCTGAACTAGTAGTCCAGGCTGACTCATTAAGAACATTTTGTGTAGGAATGGGTTCTTCCTGACTACTTTTAGTAACAATATAGTAGATACAGAGAAGATAAAAGTTGGAGGTTCTTAAAGTTTTAGTCCTTTCTTTTTTTTTTTTTTTTTTTTAGTCCTTTGTTTTCATCTAAAGCACCCCATAGAGGTGAACTTTGCTTATATGTTGATCACTTAAAGACTTGTCTAGGGTTGGACATGGTGACGCACAACTGTAATCCCATAGGCTCAGGAGGCTGAGATAGAAGGATTGCAAGTTCAAAGCCAGCCTCAGCAACGGTGAGGCACTAAGCAACTCAGTGAGACCCAGTCTCTATGCAAAATAAAAAATAGGGCTGGAATGTGGCACGGTGGTTGAGTGACCCTGAGTTCAATTCCTTGTACCTCCCCCCAAAATAAAAGACTTGTCTAGAGGCTGTGGGTATAGCTCAGTGGTAGAGTTTGTGCTTAGCATGAACGAAGCCCTGGGTTCAATCCTTAGCAGCGCCCTCCCAAAAAAGACGTGTCTGCTACTGTTATGTGTAACTAATTAGAACTTAAATTAAAAAAAAAAAAGACTTGTCTGTTTTGGGGCAAACTGGTTAAACATTCYGAGCCTCCATTTTCTCATCTTTAAAATGGACATAATGGTATCCACCTCACTGGATGTTACTAAGACCTGACACATTGTTAGCGCTCAGAAAATGTTAGTTATCATCATCATTTTTTTTTCTCCTTCTGGCACTAGCGATTAAACCTAGAGGTGCTATTTCCCCAACCCTGTTTATTTCTTATTTTGAGACAGGGTCTCACTAAGTTGTCCAGGCTGACCTTAACTTTGTAATCTTCCTGTCTCAGCCTTCTAAGCCCCTGGGGTTACCATGCCTGGTCATTAGAATTATTTTAAAAATAGATAAGTTCATTGTCATATATTCCTCAAGGGAATGAAAGAGGGAAAGTTTCCTGAGTTATTAACTTTTTCTTTTGAAAACTAGACCTTTCTGGGAGGTATTTCCATTCTCATTTCATATACCACTTCCAGATAAACAAAAAGTGAATTAACAGAAAAACTCAATGTTCCTTCTTGCTTTTCCTTGGATAGGATTGGATAGGACTTCCATTTCTACTCCAAGCTGAAGAGGAGTGAAGCACTTTGGAATGGCCATCTCCAGGACTTCAAGGAAATTTGGAAACTTCCTGCACAGGTATAAAATGAGTGGGAACTAGCCCAACAAAATAGTTGGCTGACTACCAACAAAGTAGCCAGCCCTGGAATTCTGGACATGGACAAGCCAACCCTGGGAGAGGAATTGTTTTAGTCAGCTTTTTTGCTGCTCTGACTAAAAGATCCGACAAGAACAATTTTAGAGGAGGAAAAGTTTATTTGGGGGCTCACAGTTTCAGAGGTCTAAGTCCATAGACAGCCAGCTCCATTCCTCAAGTATGGAGGTGAGGCAGAACATCACGGTGGAAGCATGGTGGAGGGAAGTAGCTCACATGATGATCAGGAAGCAGAAGGAGAGACTCCACTCACCATATAAAAAATATATGCTCCAGCTGGGTGTGGTGGCACATGCCTATAATCCTAGTAGCTCTGGAGGCTGAGACTGGAGGATCACAAGTTCAAAGCCAGCCTCAGTAAAAGTAAGGTCCTAAAGCAACTCAGCGAGACCCTGTCTCTAAATAAAATACAAAATAGGTCTGGCGATGTGGCTCCGTGGTTGAGTGCCCCTGAGTTCAATCCTTAGTACCAAAAAACAAACAAACAAACAAATATATATATACACACACACATACATACATGCACGCACACACACACACACACACACACACACTCTCTCCAAAGAACACCTCCTCCAGCCATACCCTGCCTGCCTTCAGTTACCACTCAGTTAATCCCCAACAGGGTTAAGACTTTTATAACCTAGTCATATCAACTCTGAATGTTCTTGCATTGTCTTCCACATGAGCTTTTGGGAACACCTAATATCTAAATCATAACAGGAACCCAAGCTCTTAATGTTCTCTAGTTTATCATTAAAGAGTTGAGAAATGAACAGAGAAGCAAATGGTACCCAGATAAGCCTGTTTCCTATGTTGAAAATTTAGTTTCCTTGGAAAAAAGATAAAACCAAATTCTGAGCTATAATTTTCCTCTTAAAAGATTTCTTTCTTGGGCTGTAGCTGTACCTCAGTGGTAGAGCGCTTGCGACACAAGTGTGAGGCACTGGGTTTTATCCTCAGCACCACATAAAAATAATTAAAGATATTGGTACATCTACAATTAAAAATTATTTTTAAAAAATATTTCTTCCTTTCTCTTTCTTTCCTCCTTTCTTCTTCCCTCCCTCTTCCTCCTCCCTTCCTCCCTCTTTCTTTCTTCTTCCCTCCYTCTTTCCCCCTCCCTTTCTTTCTTTCTTTTTTTCAGAATACTGGGGATTAAACCTGGAACATCATGTATTCTAGGCAGGCTCTCTACCACTGATCTATGCCCCTAGCCCCTTCTTTTAAATTTCTGTCTGAATTTTATTGTATTAATTGGTCAATTGATTGATCGTAGTGCTGGAGAGCGAACCCAGGACTTGGCACATGCTAGGCCAAGTGCTCTACCCCTGAGCTACATCCTTAGCCCTCTATCTGAATTTTAGCTAAAATTAACTATCACTTGACCAGGTCAGTGGAAAAAGTGAGCATGGATATGGTGGGGCATGCCTCAGCTGATTAGGAGGTGGGARGATCAAAGTTTTTCAAGGGCAGCCTGGGCCATATAGCAAGACCCTGTCTGGAAATAAAAAGGACTGGACATGTAGCTCAGCTGGGGATAATTTCCTAGCATGTGTGAGGCACTGGGTTTGATTCCCAGTACTGCAAGCACAAAAACAAAACAAAGCAAAGTTTAAGAAAAAGTGAGCATGGAAAACTCCAAATTAAAACTATAGTCAACCCTAGATTATTGATGGGATGAATTTCTTATTGTTAATATAAGTTCTCCTCCCTAGTGGAGAAGAATTTTAGGAATTTTGTTGGAATTTAGGGGGTATTCTTCTTCTCCTATCCAGATTCTAGACCAACTGGGAGAGATTTAAGAGTTAGACATTGAGATAAAAATGGCAGCTTTAACTGGKGGGGCTGTTGAGAATGCAACTGAGGCCTGTGGCCACAGAGGGCTTCCTAATAACCACAGGATCCAGCAGATTGACTTATCCAGCCACTGGCAGTATGGACTACCCCAGCCTCATTCTTAAAAGATAAAGCCTTTGCTATTGGTCTCTGAGCCTTGTATGCCCAGCTCCTCATTAATCAAAGAAGCCATTTCTCCCACTTCTAAGTCAGGGGATGGAGAAAGGCCAGTAGAATTAGTCTAAGGAGTGTCCTTTCACCCCAAAGACAGTATCTAGAAGAGAAAGGTGGATTTTAGTATTTCCTGTTGATAAGTGGAGATGGGAAAAAAGGAGAAGCCATGCTTGGGTCAGAGCTCCTGAGGAGCGGGGAGCTGCTCTGGCTAACGAGGAATGGTCTAGAATCTGGCTAATGAGRAATGGTCTAGATTCTGCCTCCCTCCTTTTCACAGATTTTGTCCATATGAACTTGTCTAGAAGCTGGAAAAATGAGTAAGACCCGTAAATCTATCCACATTGACCATGGTTCCACTATACTCTGGTTTATTTGATCCTGGTGAATGTAAAATTGACCATATTTTGTCACCTTCAATAGCTTATTTTTAAGCATCCAGTGAAGACCTCTTTCACCTTGTTTCCATTTTTCTGGTTTCAGAATATAGGTTTCAATTGTAGTTAGTCTCATTTCATTCTTTCAGATCTTGGAGCAAGAAGTGAGTATGAGGAAAATTCAAACCAGGGCATTTCAGGGAAGGTGGAACTACYGAGGGTATCATTAGAAAGCTCCCAAATGGATGTTTTCCAATACTGTAATTGCTGGAAAGACTGGGAAAAAAGATATGGGACAGAACAGCAATGGGGAAAGCCCTGCTGCAARTTGGACTAGAGTCAGTCTCTCCTCCAGAAAGAGATGTAGATAAAGTCATAGGTCCTCAGGGTACCTATGCAGGAGAAAAATCCAGTATGTGTTTTGACATGGAAAATCTTCAACCATATCTAGCCATCCATAGGTCAGCCACACAGGAGAAAAGAAGCCTTATGAATATAACCATTGTGGGAAAAACTTTGCCAAAGCTCACATCTGATCTGCCATCAGAGAATGTACTACACTGGGGAGAAGCCTTCCCAGGGCCTTGAATATGAGAAAGGCTTCTGTGATCATTCTAACTTCACAGGACACCAGAGAATCCACACAGGAGAAAAGCCCTATAAATGTGCAGAGAGCTGGAAGTGTTAACCAGAGCTCAAACATTATTATGCACCAGAGAATCCACACAGGAGAGAAACCCCATAAATGTAATGGGTATGGAAGAAGATTCCCCAATAGCTTGCACTTTGATTGGGGAAAGTTCACTAAGGGTTCTGTCCTCACCAGCCACCAGAGGATCCACAGGAGAAATCCTACAAGTATCTCGAGTGTGGGAGAAGTTTCAGTGACTGACTGCTCAAGCCTCATTACCCACTGGTGAATTCACACTGGAGAGACCCTATAAATGTGGGGAATGTAGGAAAAGCTTCAATTAGAGCTCAAGTCTCATTATACACAAGGAGAAAAGCCCAATGAATGTAACAAATGCGAGAGGMAATTGGACAGCAATTCAAATTTTAGCCACATTGGAGAACCTATGTGGGAGAGTGACTCTGATGTGTCCGGTATATTGGGAAAAATGTCTTTAAAGCACCAAGTCTGGCAATTTTAAGGAGTTTGTCCCATAAAAGAGTCTTTTTTGCCTTTAATTCGATAACCTGTCACCAACCTGAGATAAGAATTTAAGTCCCAGTCCAAAAGACTTTGTTTTGTTTCTCTCTCTAAATGCTTGACTTATGGAAATATTCCTCAGGGTTTCCTTATCTATGCTGTTGCAATGGGAGCCAATTTCCAGAGAATTCAGAAACTAGTTCCCATTTCAGTGTGTCTTCATTGTGATTCTGTGCCTTAATTTTCTCATCCTTGAGGTCCTCCCTCACAGATGGACAGGGCACTGTCCTGCCCTGATCATGTTAATGGAGGTGGGTCAGCTATGGAGCCAGCAGTGTTTGGGCACTATACAAAAGTTTATAATAAMATCTATAGTGTACCATTGTTCTCCCTGTGGGAGGATTGGGGCTCAGGATGCCTACATTTCCCCATCCTCCTTAGAATTTGCAGGAATTTATAGAGAATTTCTAGATTCATAGAGGAAAGTGCTCTATTACACAGGGGAGGGAAAAGGAAGAAAGAGCAATGTTAGGGTTGGCTTTCTAAACTATAACTTCCCTCTCCCAAAATATTAGATTGAACCATATGAGATTGCCATTGCTGATCTACAAACTAGCAATTTTATGATTCAATCTAAGTAGAATGTCTGCAATTCTGTTCCCAATGGCCAGCAGCTCATACTGAATCCTAAAAAGGTGAAGGAAGCTGGGTCTAGAAGATATGAAGCAGGATAAAGAGGTGGGTAAAGACCTTTCTGTTTGTAGATATGCCCAGAGCAAAAACTAAGAACCATGGTATTAAAAAGTCCCTAAAAGGATTTACTTCTATGTCACATGCCTTTGACAAGCCCACTAATTCCTGTCTGTGCTTCAGGCTTCTCAAAGCCAGGGTATCCTGATCCTTCGGGCAACAGATTCCCACAGATTTCAGTCTCTGCACAAGAGCACAGCAGAGTCCCTGGATAGACTCTGACACACAGAACAAATGGGGCTTAGAAAAAAAATGGAACACAGTTTCTTCCTCTTAAAATAGTGCCCATTGTGTTTGATTTTTAAATATTTTCCCACAACCTCCCAGAAACTCATTAATTATAAAACAAAGCACAATCTACACATATTACAATTGTACCTAATTAGATTAATAATTATTATAATAAGGCTAACTCAGTAATAAGGCTTCTTTTTAACATAAAAACACTTAGCCAAATAAATGTCTGTCAAAATTGGTTATTTAATGGGCTGTGGACTTCATGTTATTGCGGTTATTCAAGAAGTTCTTTTGAGTTTTTCTGTAGGATTTGACTACATGCCTTCCCAGCATGTAGGGTAGTTAATGTCTTATACACTAGAAAAGTTTAATAAATGCTGATGGAACAAATRCCTTGTTTATCCAGCCTAATCATCTGTCTTATCCATGAGACTGGGCTCTACTCAGTTTTTGCTTTCCAAAAATAGAATCTCTTCAAAGGATGTCAATTCACTGCCATTAAGGAGATTTTTCAGGGTCTGTTGTTGGAAGACAATTTTCAAAGAGGTATTCCAGAATTTGGAATTTAGAATATTTGTCAAGGCCAGGAAATAAAATTGATATGGATCACTTGATATTATTTTACTCTTTCAATGAGAAATTCTTAGGTAGAAATTCATCCTACTAATACCTGAGGTAGCTCTGCATTATAAAATGACTTTGGAGACCAGGTGTGGTGGTACATGCCTGTAATCCCAATGACTTGGGAGGCAGAGGCAGGAGGATCAAAAATTTGAGGCCAGCCTCAGTAATTTAGTGAGACCGTGTTACAACAAAAAATAAATAAATAAAGGTGCTGGGGATGGAGCTCAGTGGTAAAGTGCCCCTGGCTTCAATCCCCAATCCCACCCCCTAAAAGACTTTGGGAACAACTAGATTCTCTTTTGAAAATTTTTGACATCATTTTTCTTTTGGATGGAATAAGAAGATTCAAATATATAGAAATATATAGTCGATTATGGGCTGGGGATGTGGCTCAAGTGGTAGTGCGCTCGTCTGTCATGCGTGCGGCCCGGGTTGGATCCTCAGCACCACATACAAACAAAGATGTTGTATCCGCCGAAAACTAAAAAATAAATATTAAAAAAATTTCTCTCTCTCTCTCTCTCTCTCTCTCAACTCTTTAAAAAGAAAGAAAGAAATATATAGTCATATAATATCATCTCATATATTTTCCCCTTAATGAAATAGTGGAGAAATTAAGCTGGAAATTGTCAGTATTCCATAAGGATCTTAGAGGAAGACATGTTAGTTGCTTTAAATAATGTTTGCTATCAGTCTTCCTAAATGGGATACTTACAACAGTGAATTGTGGCTTAATAGTTAACATGGAGATGTTTCTCATTGAATCATATGTGATATGAATTTTACAGTGTCCTAATTTTTATTTGAAATGGTATCATCCACCATCTTATTCAAAAGTGTTTTGATTTACTTTTTTATCTACCACTCTATGGGATGAACAGAGTTCTGGAAGCTCGTTTTATTTATTTATTTATGTTAAGTTTTGGAACTGGGGTGCCCAACCACTGAACCACATCCTTATCCTTTTTTAATATTTTATTTACAGACAGGGTCTTACTGAGTTGCTTAGGGCCTCACTAAGTTACTGAGGCTGGCTTTGAACTCATGATCCTCCTGCCTCAGCCTCCCAAGCTGCTGGGATTACAGATGTGTGCCACCATGCCTGGCTCTGGAGGCTCTTAGTTTTAACTCAGTACAAACTAACAGTTATGGCTTCTAAGTATGTGAACAAGACAAGCAGCAGTGGCTTCTGTAAGTCATTTTCTTGAAGATATCTCAAGATGAAGATGGTAATGATGAACCAAAATAAACCTTTCTTTCCTCTTTTTTTTTTTGCATATATGCACAAGTGAACCCATCCTTTTTTAAATTTACATATGACAGCAGAATGCATTACAATTCTTATTACCCATATAGAGCACAGTTTTTCATATCTCTGGTTGTATACAAAGTATATTCACACCAATTTGTGTCTTCATACCTGTACTTTGGATAATAATGATCCTCACATTCCATCATCATTAATAACCCCATGCCCCCTCTCTTCCCTTCCCACCCCTCTGCCCTATCTAGAGTTCATCTATTCCTCTCATGCTCCCTCTCCCTATCCCACCATGAATCATGTGGCATATATACATAATGGAATGTTACTCCTCTTTTTAATTTTTTTTTACTTGTAGATGGACACAATACCTTTATTTTATTTGTTTTTATTTTTATGTGGTGCTAGGGATTGAACCCAGTGCCTCACGTATGCTAGGCAAGCACTCTAACACTGAGCCACAACCCTGTCCCCTAATCTTTCCCCTTAAAAAAAAATAATGAAAGATACAGTTGAGAGTGTATAAAGTTCACTTATATTACTAAAATATTGCAATAGATTATACATTTTGTTTATCAAATTATACGTTGAAAAAAAATTTTTTTACTGTGTGTGTGTGTGTGTGTGTGTGTGTGTTCCTAGGGATGGAACCCAGGGCCTTGTGCATGTGAAGCACGCACTCTACCAAGTGAGCTATATCCCCAGCCCCTGAGAAATTTTTGTAGAAGAAACTTACAGCAAAAATATTGATTCTCCAGAGATATGTGTATAATATGAATTGTAAAGCATTCTGCTGTTATGTATAACAAATTAGAATAAAAAATTTTTAAATATTGATTCTCGCAGGGTGTGGTGGTACACACCTATAATCCCAGAAGTTCAGAAGGCTGAGGCAGGAGGATCGTGAGTTCAAAGCCAACCTCAGCAAAAGCGAGGTGCTAAGCAACTCAGTGAGACCTGTCTCTAAATAAAATACAAAACAGGGCTGGGGGTGTGGCTCAGTGGTCAAGTGCCCCTGAAATCAATCCCTGGTAATCCCCCCCCAAGAAAAATTGGTTCTCATTGTCATTTACAGCTAGCAGGAAACACTAGCATTGGATTTCCAGGCACTAATCCTGCTAGCAAAAGCTGATGTAAGTATATTAACCCATTAGATAAATTAATTCCAAGTGAATCCTGTGAGTGGCATGGTCAGAGGAGGTGTTTTGTTTTAATCAGATTTATTATTAGACTCTAAGCTTCTGGACAGAGACTGGTATAAGACTGATATCTGCAAAGAATATA